TATCAGGAGAATTTGTTTTTTTTTAAGGGGGAAAATCATCTCTATGACTCTAATGACTTCTCTCGCCTGGGTGAGGCGGGAGGGAGTGTCAGACTTTTACTGACTAATGACTACCCCGTTCCTACTGCTGCCCTTCGAGCCAGAGCCCTGGCAACCTGTGAAATCCTCCGCTGCTCATGTTTTAGGAGTATGAGAGAATAATTCTCGAATTTGTTACTAGAATGAGAAAGTATTGGATTTTAATTGAGGTTTGCCAGCAAAAGCAAGTTTTCATTTGTATAGACTACAAAGGTTAATGATCCAAAATAGTTAGTCTAGGTACGATGTTGTGCAATTTGTTAATTTTATTCAAACATCACTAAACTTGTGGTTTGCTATTTATCAAGTCGACCAATTAGTGCTAATGAGTTTTCAATTTGACACCTTTGTGGAAATCTTAATCTATTGTTGTTTCCAGAAAACCACTGTTACACTTCATGGAAGTAATTAAGTCCGAAACAAAAAGGTAGAGTATACATTTTTTTCTAGAGTATTAATTTTTTTTCTTTTTACTTATTAACAATTCAAATCCATCTAAAAGGACTATGTATATGAAATTATATTAAGAGTATAATTTTACATATCTTTAACTAACCCACAATTTTCATCAATTCAATCATCTATCCCACTATGTCACAATCACTACGCACTGAGACAAAACCAATTTAATTTCACACTTAATAATGTATCTGTATCAATTTCGAACTGGTTATAACTGGTAATAAAATGTAGCACTCACTGATTTGTACTGTTCCAATACTTCGGGTATCACTTGGCCTTTCACCCTCCAAGTCTTGTATTTGTATACTGGTTTGCCATTCTGAGATGCGATGGTTGCTGTAGAAAAAAAAAATTAGAAATAGAAGCAGTTTGAATTAAGAACTGTTATTTGAAATTGGAATATTTTTATTTATGGTATTAATGTTTTTTATAAATAAGTTTAATAAATTAAAAATATATTTAGTAAAATAAAACAATTGATTTCAAGCACTCTAAATAAAAAAAGTGTAAAATAAGAAGAGAAATAAATTGATTTAGTCAATAATCTAAACAGATTATAAATTAAAAAATATTACACTGATGAAATGTAATTTCAGATGCATTTTAGACATTTTAAATCAAGAACTATTTCACCCCAAATCTGAATTAAATATTAAATAACCAGGTACCTAATAAAAACTTACCCAAGGGATCCTCTCGGTTTCCTTTGTCCAACACAGTGAAAACACCGACCACCTCATGGCCGTCTCTTTGTAGAAGTTTGAATACTTCAGCAGCAAACAAGCTCTGGCCGATTATGGCAACCCGTAGCTTCTTCTTAGGAGCCTGCAAATAAACACAAATATTAATTAACTTATTTTATTTTTAGATACTTATGGATGATTTTTTAAATAATTTACCGGTAAAGTATAGGTATGTCTTAATATTTAATGTTTGGTATTTTATGAAATAATCTTCCCGGAAAGAATATAAGGATAAATGTAACGATTAATACGATTATGCACTAAAATATGAAAATGGTCAATGAAATTACTTTCCAAGTCACAAAAAACTCTTTCTAATTGAATTGTACTTACATCGTTAGTCAATGAAACAGGCGGCATTTTAGGAATTTATTTTAGTACCCAGTTGATTTGTGAAAAATATTTCAGAAATTAATTCAACTTAGCTCCACTAGTCGCCGAGTGGCGCGCGGTTGTACTAACGTGAAAACAACAGACCGCTCGTATTTAGCTTCTCCGCAGACGGCTTAGCCTTGACATCACTATCATAAGTTTACGAATGATAAAGCTTTGTTGAGTGAATTAACTCTATTCATTTCCAAAAGAAAGAGGTGTGTTGGACACTGATTAAGACGAATTTCCGACGTTTTTGCCGCCAAAACAAACATTTTTGAAGTTTTTTTGTTGTGACAATCATCTGACATTGACATTTATTAGGTTTCAGTGGTTTTTTTTTAATTTTCATTAGCAGCTTTTTGAAAGTTAGAATGTTATGAAAAATAATTATTATTGTCTAGATAACTATATGATTTTGAGATCATATCCAAAAAAATACGGACTTAAAACGGCGAAAGTGCTGGGCAGAGTGCAGTGAAACAAAAACGTATATAATTTTATATTTTGTGGAAAAGCAATCCAGAAACTAATTTTCTTGTTGGAAGTATTTTTCGGTAAGTTTTTTATTTTACATTTGTATTTAGTTTGTGGCAGTTTCATTTATAATAATTAAAAATAATTTCTAGGATAAGAACTGTATAAGTAGCTGTTTCAAATATCGCAAAAGTGTATAGGTTGTGCATTTTTTAAGTGCTAGGTACTATTAACTCACACTTCAGTTCACAGTTAGGCATATAATCAACTAGACTGTAGGTGTGATTCTAGAGCTTACTATCATAGACTAATTAGTCCAGGGTTTGTATTAAACAAGATCATACTAACGACGTACCCGTTTCTAACTGGCTTTACCCACCTGTGCCAACTGTAAAGTAAGTACTTATTTTCAAATCCAGCCGTTATACATACGTCTGTGGATGGGAAACCAGGTGCGCCCTAAAAAGGACAGAGTCACAGAGTTATCGTCCAACCCCTTAAATAAATGGTGTAATTTTATATTGTATCTAAATTGCATAAGGATTTCACATCACAGATTACTATATAAAGATACTAGTCAGAGATTTCACATCAAGCAAATGTAAAGATGGCCGAAAAAAAAACCATAAAGAAATTAAAGAATATCAGAATTTTTAATATCATGCACGTTAACCATAAATTATTTAGATCATAGGGTTTTTAGTTAGATCCCTAACATGCTGTAAAATCGTGTAAAAGTAGGCAGGTCCATTGTATTATTCCGCTCAGTGAATAACTTTAGATAACAACTTGGTAAACACATTAGTTACCTAAAACTGCTAAAGATAATAAGCCGAACCAGTTAAAAGCAGTTTTCAGTAATAAAAGCGGTTAACTAGCGGTTGTGTTATGAAAACAATTATCGTAAATAGGTTGAATAAATTTATTTTGCTAATTATTAGCAATGTGGCTTAGTGGCGACTTATAAATGGTACCTAAGTATTGATTTTATATAGGTACACTCGAGAAGTGGGTAAATTAGGTATAGAGATAACCGACTACCCAGATGGTAGATTGAGTCCAGGATATGGATACTTTTTTGTTTTCTTCTAAATTTAGAATTTTATAACATTTTATAAATATTTTGTCTTGTGGTAATTAATTTAAAATTACAGGTACCTAGTCGATAATACTTAGTTTAATTATTTCCGTACTAGCTCACAAGATACGTATAAGTAGTAAGTAGGTGTGTAGCATCGAGTGAATCTCATACTGGGAATGCCTGCTAATCAATCAATCGCCTTTGAACTCTTTCATGATGACGAAATGATGAAACTAAACTGTGGTTGACGGAAATATGCATAATCTGGATACCTACAAATTAAATAAAATGGAAACAGATAATTTTATTTGGCACAACAGTTAGTTACAGACCCTACAAAACGATAAAAATAGACACCTGTTCCTGTTCGTCTGATACCTGCCTTGAACATGACATAATCTGTCTATAATGTTCCTAGTCTAATAGTCTACATTATAAGTATACCTACTTACCAAATAGGTCTCCAGCTCGATATTTCTGGAGAAAGCAAACATGATATTAGAAAAATAATTCGATTTTGTTTAACCCCTTTTTTTCATACCATTATTAAACTCACCTAAATAGACAAACTTTTAATTTCCATCTTATTTATCATATTCTAGGTACACCATAAACAAAAAGTTGACTGTGGAATGCGCTCCCGCCTAACATTCGGGACGCTGAGTCTATCGCTATCTTTAAAAAACGAGTGAGAGAACACTACCTTTCCTCTGAATATGTAAATTTCTTCATTTATATGTATAGTTTATATTTTGCCGGATTACCGCCGTGGGATCTGGAGGCGAAGGTGCTCGCGCGCGTGCACGGCATGCGCGCGGAGGCACGTCGCCGGGGCGAAACTCCGCTGCCGCGCCAGATAAGTGCGTGGCGGGATGAGCTCCGGCGCGATCTCATGGCGGAATGGCAGCAACGACTGTCGCAACCGAGGGCTGGGCTCGCTGCCATCGCAGCGGTAAGTCCCCTCTTTGAGGAGTGGCTTGAGAGACGCTACGGCGTCCTCACCTACCGCCTGACGCAGGTCCTCACCGGACATGGAAGTTTCGGGAGGTACCTGTGTCTGATGGGGCGGGAGGA